TGGCATAGAACCGTGCTGCCCAAATGTAGAGGGGCTTTGCCTACCCCAGTTAAGCTCATCTGGAGAATCCCTCACAGACATTTTGAGAGACTTGTCTGCGAGTCATTTTGGAGCCTGTCAAGTGGACCATCAGGGTTAACATGTCAGTGGGTAGTCATTAGCTCATGCTTCATTTTCTGGGGTATGCAAGGAGGATACTCCAGGGTCTTGTGCAAGTGCCAGTGACGGAAAAAGTCTGAGGACGGTCTAACTTTTCTTCCATATAAATCATTTGGTTGATTGATTGATTGATTGGTTTGTTTGTTTTGTTTTTGTGTGGATACCCAGCTAGCTTTACTTGCGTGTATCTCGGGTGTCATTTATCTTAGGATGTCTGGTATTTTATTATGTCATGTAGATGTTTTGTTTATATGCCAGAAGCCATCTAATTACTGTTTCTTTTATTTCTCGTTATATTTTTCTTCGCGATGTCTATTTCCATGTGCTAACTTTTCTTCATCTTCACTATCCACTACTTTCCTTCAAAATTTTTATTTTTCAATTTTGAAATTTTCAACCTTTCTATGTCTTATTCCTCTATATGATACTATCTGTTGTTTTAAGTAACTTTCTTTTCTCCAGGTTGGCCTTTTTTAAATGATAGGGTAGCATGGCCCAGGCTGGCCTTAAACCTGAGCTGCTCTTGCTGCAGCTCCCCAAGCACTGGTGTTACCCTCACACCCAGCTTAGCTGACTTAGTCATGGTCTCACTATTAGCCTGGGCTGGCCCAGAACTCACTGTGTAGACCAGGCTGGTTGAGCAAGTGGTAGTTTTCCTGACTCTGGTTCTGCTGTCTGAGTGCCGGCGTTACAGGCCTGACCCATCATGCCCAGCCAACCCTGTGTTTTTGAATGGATATTTTTACCCTTTGATTTCATATTCTTTTAGTGTGTGTGTGTGTATTGCACACATGTGTGCATGTATGTGTGCTTGTGCACGCCAACTTTATGGAGTTGGCTGTTTTCTTCCACCTTCCTGTGAGTTCTGGGATTTGAACTCAGGTGGTCAGGTGGGTTTGGCAGCATCTTCATCTGCTGAGCCGTCCTCACTCTTTGCCTGTTTCCTCACCTGGGGTCTGCTAAGTAGTGATTTCTGAGTTGTGGTTCACCCGCTGGCTTGTCAAGGCTTTCTGGTGCACACGATTACTTTCGAGGGCACACTTAGTGACTTTTTCTCATACCAATCCTTTGCATCATTTGAGCACTAGCATTTTCTTTTAGTATGTATTTATTTTACTAATTGCTTACATTATTTCCTTATGTAGTGTTTGTTTATTTAGCCTTTCCAACTATACGGAGATCCTTCTGTCTTTGTCTGGTGTTTAAAGTACGTCACCTAGTTAGGGAAGGCATCACTCATCCTGTCCTCCCCATGTCCCTTTTCATTTGCTATTTAGTTGTGCCTTCCCCTTTCAGTGTGGGTCCTGGTCACCGCAGTTTCATTGTAAGTGTAGACCAGGCTCTCCTGCTCTTATAAGTGGGTGAAACCCATCCTGTCAGATATCTCCTTGGCTTTACCTACAATGCCTGTTGGTTATTTGATTTCTCTTTTTCTGGTCTGTGAGCTTGGCAAATGCCCATGTACTGTTTTGTGCTTCTCACATAGACACTTAATATCCACACATACCTTTTTAGCAGTTGATGGTTTGTTCCTGTCATCATATATTAGGGGATTCTGTGCATGAGGTTGTGATTTTGGTACTTAATTCTCTTTGACTTTATTCAAGATTTAGAGATTTAAATTTTAAGTTCCTGACCTGGTATGGTGGTACACTCCTGTAATCCCAGTACCAAGGAGCAGAGGCAGGAGGATTTGGGTTTGAGATCTACTTCATCTGCGTTAGGTTTTTTTAAGTTTTGCTAATTAATTACATGTCATGGATCACTACTTGCTGCATAGACTGTTCTGATTCCACTATGGTTATATTAAATGCAGGCTGAACTCCAGCTGGAAGGAAGCTATATGGTAGGTCTTTTATTTTTCTTGTTAATAACTATTTGATTACTATATCCAATTAAATTGTCATAAAATACAGTTTCTTTCTTTGGTGACCTCTTATCTGTTAGCCATGGTAAAAGAATTATATAAGTAATAGATGTGTTTTTGCAAATTTGACAACAGCAGTTGGAGTTTTTAATATATAACTAAAATTATATATGTATAGTAGCTTTCTGGATATAATGTGCATACTAAATAATGGACTCATTGAAAGTACAGACTTAGTGGGTTTTAGTGGATTCACAGAATTGTGCAACTTGTGCCATACTTTTGGAACACTTCCAAACCTTGGAAATAAAATGGCTTATTGGATGCCTTGTGTCATTTCAGGTTCCTCTGACCCACTAACCCCTGCCCTTGGCAGAAACCAATCTGCTTTCTAAGTGTGTGTTTACCTGCTCTGTTTGTTTTCTTTCCTTCCCTTTCTCCTCCCTCTGTATCCCCAGCCTTCCCAGGCTCCCGCCCAACTCCAGTGTCCTGGAGATTCAGTCCAAGGCTTGCTAGGCCAGCTCTGCCTATGCCCCACATCTCCATGGAACCATGTAGTATGTGGTCTTTTGTGCCTGGCCTCACTGGCTTAGCAGAATGTGTTCTCTGTCATCTGTGTGATAGCCATGTTAATATTTAGTGTCATTTTATTTCCAAATAGTATTTCACTGTCTGGATGGTTCATTTTGTGATAAATATTTGTCTCTTTTTATCATTATGCATGATGATTTTTGTTTTTGCTTTGCAGCCTACTTGTGATTTAAGTTACTTTTTCTCTTCCCTTTTCCTTCTTTCCTCCCTCTTTCTTTCCCTCTCCTCCTTTTGAATCAAGGTCTCAGTTCATAGCCCTGGCTGACCCAGAATTTGCTATGTAGACCAGACTGACCTCGAACTCACAGAGATGCTCCTGCCTCTACGTCTGGAGTGCTGGGACTAAAGGTGTGGACCACCATTCCCAGCCTTAAGTTATATTTTTACAATTGATTTATTCTTTAAAGGTGAGCATGCTGCTCCTAGATTGTAGTTCATACATATGAACTGGTTTTTTGAGATTGGAAGAAGTAATTTTATCATCTAGATATAAGGCTTCCAGTTTTCATTCTTTTGTGCTTACAGAAAGAGAGGGGGAAGGAGAGAGAGAGAGAGAGAGAGAGAGAGAGAGAGAGAGAGAGAGAGAGAGAGAGCGCACTTGCACTAGAGATGTATCTGAGTGGGTAGAGAGCTTGCCTACTATGCAGAAGCCTCAATCCCTAGCACATTTGCGTGGCATGCTGGCACACACGTGTGAAGCCAACACTGGGTGGCTGAGGCAGGAGGATCAGAAGTTCAAAATCAGCTGCTAGTTCTAGGCCAGCCTAGGCTACTTGAGTCTCTGTCTTAAACAACAAACAAGCAAACCAAAGCATCAGTTGGATTTAACATCTCCTAGTTCAAGCTGAATAGATTTGAAGTTATCCTTAGTTAAGTTGTCGGTTATTGGACTGAGGTTTGTTGAAACTACTATCCTGGTGAATTTTCCTATTCTTTTGTCCTTTTGCTAAGTTTAATTACTTACTGTTTAATTTTAGTTTTTATGGAAAATTTCATACTTTACACACACACACACACACACACACAAGACAATAGTAAGATTAATCGTATTGCGCCATTTATCTTTAGCCACTGGGAATGTATTGACCGACCTCACCTCATCATTCCTTCTACCCTGCCGTTAGCCTCTGTTTCTCAGATTATTGAAAGTAAACCCCAGATGTTATTGCTGTTCTGTCTTTTGGTGTACATTTATCCACAGCGTGATGGATCACTGTTCATGCTTGCACCTCTGCTCACAAGGACACAGTTGCCTTGTGTCTGAAATGTGAACAGTGCAGTTTCCTTCTTTAGTGCATGTTCTCGCAAAGATGTGTGCAGGTTCCAGAAGGCGGTGGATCCTCTGGAACTGGAGTGTAGGTGACTGTGAGCCACCTGACATGGGTGCTGGCAGCTGAACCTGGACCCCTGCAGGAGCAGTGAGCACTCCTAACTGCCACGCTGCCCCTCCAGCCTCTTGAAATGTTTCCATTTTGTGTATTTGAAAGAAACTTACTGCTCAGCTCAAGTTGACAATTGGCTTTTCTACTTTAAAGATCATATTTTAAAAAAGAAAAAAGATTGTATTGTTCTTTGCTCCCGTTGTTGCTGCTAAAAAGTAAACAGCAATCTAATTTCTACTTCTATTTTTGCTGTTGCTTGTCGTCTCTCACTGTCCCCCCCAGGCTTTCTCTGTGTGTCCTGGGACTCACTCTGTAGACCAGGCTGGCCTTGGATTCAGAGATCTGCCTTCCTTTTATTATTATTTTTAAATAGTCTCATTAATTACTTTGAAACGATATCTTTTGGGGATTTCTCTAGTTTACTGTGTGATAAGCATGTCATGACCGTTAGATGAGAGTGATTTCTGGTTGCTGACGTCACGTGTCTTTGAACTCTCCCGAGCGACAGTTATGCACTATAGCAATGGCTGATGTTTACTGTTTGTTTGGTGTGCTTTGGAGAGGGGGTTGCACTGTGTAGCTCTGACTGGCCTGGAGCTCACAGAGCTGCCTACTTCTATGCCCAAAGTGTTGGATTAAAGGTGTGTGCCACCACACCCAGCAGCAGGAGGTCTGTTATTTAAAGAGACATTGTAGAGCCTGAATTGGTGGTTTGTGCCTGTAATCTAGGAAACTCAGGCAGAATTGAGAGTTCAAAGCCAGTATGGGCCACATGAGTCTAGGTCAGTCCAAATGAATAGCAAATAGCAAGATCTTGTCTAAATAAAGGGGAAAACAAAACAGTGCCCCCCTCACCCCCACAGCCCTAAAGGAGGAGGAGGAAGCCATGTTAAATCTTTTTGGAAGACATCATTGCACTTTGCCTGCTTTCTTTTCTTGTGGAGTTGCGTATCTGTGTCCTGATGTAAGGGGTACAGTTCCCTTTGTCTGTCTTCCCACAGCATTATTGGAAATAATTATGAAAAATGGAAGCACCGCTGGAAACAGCACACATTGCCGAAAACCTCCAGGGGGTGGGGACCAGAGCAAGCCTACCTGCACAAAGGACGGCACCCCGAGTAGTGGCGAAGGAGGAAAAGTCTACACCAAAGACCAAGTAGACGGAGTTCTCAGGTAATGAGGTGATATCATCTCCTTGATCGTTGATTCTGATGGAACTTAACTGATGTCATGATGCCAGAGAAAGGTACAGTTGCATAGAAAGGAAACAAAGGTGTTCCTGGGGCATTCGGTGCTTCAGAGTCTTGGTGGGGTCAGCCTTTAAAAAGCTCTGTGGAAGGTTCCATTCTTCTAAATCGACAATACGACCCAAGTGTACAGTAATGACTTGAGCGTTGATTCTGTGCATCGTTTGGCCGGTAGGAGGGGGAGATGAATTGCTGTCTTGTCATATACAGTTGGAAACGGGAGCGTTTCATAGGAGGAAAATTGAGAGTCAGGGCAGCAATGCTTTACACTTCCTGCCTTAGCACCCTCTTTTTCTGTTCCAGTTTGGCAAGGCTGCCTTTGTATACAGACACCACAGTGCCCTGTCTGGGTGTCCCCTCTGGGTCTCTCATGCTCTCCTGTATGCAGCAGAGTGGGGTGGAGCTGAACAGTGAGAAACTTGGTTTTAGAAATACCGTGTTACTAATTTTATAAATAAGAAAGGGTTTTCTTGAAAAAAGGCTAAGCTAAGGGGTATGAAATGCTTCAGAATAGATTGTTTTGTTTCCTATTGGAAGTTTTTAGTTTTTGGCGAATTTATTCATTCATTCATTCATTCATTCATTCATTTATTTATTTTGGCTGTCTGGAGCTCGCTCTGTAATACCAGCCTGGCCTCAAATACCCAGAGATCTGCCTGCTTCTGCCTCCCAAGTGCTGGGATTAAAGGTGTGTGCCACCCCTGCCCGGCTCCTGTGGAAGCTAAGGAAAGTGTTCTGATGTTGCTCTTCTGGGCAGCTGGTGCTGGCAGGTGATGGACTCTGGAGATGATGAACCGGGAGGGTGGATCCCATGGCATTGTGACCTGATGTGAGGAAGCACAGGAGAGCAGCAGAGTGGTCCACGTCTCCTGTCCTTGAGATGCTTCCTTTCCTCATCCAGTGTAACTTCTATAGCATATACTCTCAGACTCAGATTTTATCAGTGATGAAAGCTGCTTGTCACGATGTCCTGAGTCTAATATTGAAATATTTCTATCATGTTTTCCCCTCTATATGTGCATACTAAAGCTCTGTTGAATCATTGTGTCTGAAATCACGATGAAGAAAACATATTCACTAGTCAGGGTGCAGCCGTGAAAGAGGACATGACTGGTGTGAGCAGTAGCAAGCATTTCAAAGGCTGCTGACCACTTCCACAAGGCCACACCTTGTCAGAGTTGACTGAATAAGTGAGTGAGAGATTGCTCCTGGCTTTTTCTGGGGACAAGCAATAAGAAAGCAGTATGCTTGAAACTGTATCCTAAAACAGGTTGTGTTTTCCTGTAGGCATTACATTACACTGAGAGAGCATGCCCCGGGAATCCTGTTTCTCTCTTTTTGGATTTATTTACATTTATTTTATATGGATGAGTGTTTTACATGTATGTATACAAGTACATTACATGCATGCCTGGTGCCTGTAGAGGCCAGAAAAGAGCATTTGATCCCCCAGGAACTGGAGTTACAGAAGGTTGTGGGTGCTTGGAACTGAACCTGGGTCCTCTGGAGAAGTAGCAAATGCTCTTAACCACTAAGACATCTCTTCAGCTAATCCATGAATTTTTCTAATTACAAATTGAATTGTATTGTTTGTGATTTTTGTGACCCTTCCCCCAAAATAGAATCACTTATTTGCTTGGATGTGTCACCAACCAACAAAACTTCAGCTGCACATTTTAGAAAATGATGTTCTTCCAGATGTGGTGTTATTGCTTTTTTTAAGTCTATAGTTCCTCTCCCTTATCAGGAGGGAGAGCACACATGTGAGAGCCCCCAAGAGAGGAACTTCAGTGAATAAGGGAAGTATATTTGTTTCAGCACTGGTGTGAGTGTGCTTCTGTGCATGCCTACGTGTATGTGTGCTCGTTTTCGTTTTCCCCAAGGTGAGGGGATATGCTTCTGGGACGTGATGAGACTGAAGAATGAACGAGCACTAATGGCGGAGCAGACCTGCTGTCAGAGTTGGGCAGGTGGAGACTCACAGACACGCCTGTCATCTTCTGTTATGTGAGACTGGGGAAGGCTGTTCAGGAGGCTGGGACCTTGTGGAGACTAGTAAAAGCTTGGGCTTCTTTACAGGTGGAATTCAGTGAGTGCAGAGTTAGCTTTGACTGAGGGTCCAGCCATATTTACCATCATGTTCCTTATGGATAGATGAATTTCTTTAGAAGCATCACCTCCAGCATTACAGATTGATTCTCCAAACCAATAACTCTACTGTATCTTTTAAATTCTATATAATATAAACTATGTCTATCTAATATAAATTGTATATATAAAAAAATCCCTCCTGGGACTAAGTATGAAGCATTCTTCTAAGTGAAATCCCTAAGTTATTTGGAGTATTTCCGTCAGCCCCTCGTATGGACGTTGCCTAGTTGCGCAGTGTGTATGTTTCCAGCAGGTTTCACGCGTGGCTCTGGCGAGGCGGCAGGTGAGAGGCCAGAGCTGCACTGTGCCATTTTGTGTTTTGTTTTATTTATACACAAGGGATTTTCCTCAGGAAGGCACTCTGTCTTGATAGAGAAGATGCTTATGTGAACAAGTTGCTCAGTAACAGTTTGGCTCAATGGGGAGAAGCCGCGCAACCATGCCATTCCCGTTGCGTAAGTGCGAGGCTACAGTAAGACTGAAGAAAACTTGTGTAACTCAGTGAGCAAGCAGTCAGTGCCACGAGACTGTCTGTCTCTGAGCTGAAATAGGCTTTAAAAAATTGAGGAAAATGAATTTTATTTGAAGTTTTTAATACATCATTGTAAAGACATTTTGTATTAAACATGTAAGGTCCGTGTGGAGTCTAGCAGGCAGTTATCATCAGTGTCCATGACTGCTCCTATACAGATCCTTCTCATTGGAATTACAGAGACCGGACCTTCAGATCCGATTTAAGCTCAATGCCCCTTGTCTTCCTCTACCCTTTTTGTTTGTTTGTTTTTAGACCAGCTCTTGCTGTGTAGCCTAGAGTGATCTTGAGCTCATATTGCTTCTGCTTCAGCTCTCCGGCACTGTGCTGGGGCTGCAGGTGCGAGACCGCAGTGCCTGGTCTTGTTAAATTTCAGTTCTTTAAGTTAGAGGAAGATAAATTACAGTTGTTAGACATATCAGAAGGATGATGCCTTAACTCAGAAGTGTTTCCCTAAACACCAATTAAATCTAAAGCCTATGTATTCATTTGAGACAAAGTCTCACATAGCTCAGGATGGTCTAGAACTCTCTCCAGCTGAAGATGACCTTGATTTTCTGATCTGCCTCTACCTCCTGAATGCTGGGGTCATAGGTGTTTGCTACCACACCCAGTATGGAGATTGGACCCAGGGCTTCATGCAAGTCAGGCACCTACTGTACCAGCTGCATCCCCAGTCACTGGGATCTATTGAAATGAACATATGTAACACATTTAAAAAGAGAGAGGAAGTTGAAAAATGACTTTTCGCTTCTGCCATTATGTTTCCAGTCCAGCAAAAGAAGGTATAAACAGTGGACCAGACAGGTCCTGTGGGCCTCCGTTATACAATATTTGCTTCCCAGGTTGTTGAGAAGCAGATTGACTTGGGTTATGTTTCTGGCCCAGGGTTAGGAAGTAGATGGTGTGTATCTACTTGTGGTCTTCTTGCTGGTAGAGTTATAAGACAGCACAGGGAGAAGGCATCTGTGTATGAATGAACTGTGTCCCCTGAGATTTCTTTTTGAAGGTTTGTTTTATTGCTAAGGATGCAGAAAGTTTGGATCTCTCAGAAAATAACAAACTAAACACACAGCAGACACTTATTTTAACTAGCAGCGTGACAGGACCTAGACTCACCCTGGAGACAGCTGCATCTGGGCACATCTGGGAGGGATTTTCTAGGGTAGGTTAACTGGGGTGGACAGATCCTCTCTGGATGGGCAGTGCCCTTCCATGGGCCAGACTGCATACAAAGGAGAAGGTTGAGCTTAGCAAGCACTCATTGCCCTGTGCGCTTTAGTGTGCTCCACATCTTCCCTGCTGTGGCTGACTTCCCCACCAGTGCGGGTCAGAATAACCCAATGCTTTCTAAGTTGTCATAGTCAGGCATTTGGTCGCAATAACAGGAAAAATGACCCCCAGCTTGATGGAAAGGCTGTGATGTGAGAAAGTAGGGTCTCTTGGTCACTGTTCTGTTGCTGTGAAGAGACACCATGACCACAACTCCTCTTATAAAAGAAAAGAAAGCATTTAATTCGGGCTGACATGGTTTCAGAGGTTTCGTCCATGGTCTTCACAGTGGGAGGCATGGCAGCGCACAGGCAGACATGGTCCTGGAGAAGGAGCTAAGAGTTGTACATCCCGCTCTAAAGGCAGCAGGAAAAGCAAGACACTGGGCCTGGCTTGAGCATCTGAAACCCAAAGCCCACCCCTAGTGATATACTTCCTCCAACAAGGCCACACCTCCTAATCCCTGTTAAGTAGCTCCATTCCCTAATGACCCAACATTAGTCCTCTCCATCAGTCATCAATCAAGAAAACGTCTGGTGGGGACTCAGTTGAGGTTCACCTTCTAAAATGACCCCAGATTGTGTCCGGTTGTCATAAAACTATCCAGGACAGTTGGCCCTTTGCCAGTTTAATGCACAAACACATCACTGTTCAGCTGTAACGTTTCTTATTGTCACCAAGATAGCATTACTGTCAATATCACAATATAAAGCATATTACAAACTTTAAGTGTCTCAAAATCTTCAAACGTTCAAACCTTAAAAATTTAGTCTCTAAAATATCCAAAATCAGCCAGGCATAGTGGCAAATATCTTTACTCTTAGTACTCAGGTGGCAGAGGCAGGCAGATCTCTGTAAGTTTAAGGCCAGCCTGGTCTACACTGAGAGACCCTGTCTCAAAAAATAAAATATTCAAAGTCTCTCTAAAATACCAAAGTATCTATAAAAGCTCAAATTCTGTCAACCTTGGGCTCCTGTAAAATAAAAAAATAAGTTCAATACTTTCCTTACTCCACGAGGAAAGAATCAGGGCACAGTCAAAATCAGATTGAAAAAAAAAAAAAACCGAAGTCCCCTCCCACACTGTGAAGTTCAGTATCAGGCTTCTGAGACTTATAATCCTGTAGGCTCCATTGAGCTTGCCACCGCACATGTCGGGAGTCTCCTAGACTGAGACCAGCTCTGTGCCACAGTGGCTGCTGTCCTTGGTCCAATAACACTGTGTAATTTCTGTCACTGTACCCTTCTCCTGTCTCCTCTCCATGGACACAGTGCCTCGTGGATGTTTCCATTAGAAAGGGGAGTTAAGATGGCTGTTGAGGTACCAAGCACTGTGATGGTAAAACCCGCCTTAGCTCTTTGTGAATTGATGTGTGAGGTTTTTCCCTTTTCTCCCACATCTTTTCCCAGTTCACTCCTAACTTCAGTATGTAAACCTTGGAAAGAACTGAAGAACAAACTGTATTAGATGATCGCTGGGAATGGACTGTTGGAAATTGGATGTAACAAGTATTCTTTAATCCCCATTACTACTTTTGACTGTTTTATTAATACAGGATCCCTGTGTTTTTTCAGAGTAACTCAGGTAAATTCTCAGTAGCCATGGTGTGGAGCTAGCTTGTGCTGGCTTCGGCTGGGCGAGCACTGCGGTTCCTGTGTAGACAGTCGCCCTGCTCATGTGCTCCCTAGGTCTGCACTGTGCACTGATGCTCTCTCCACGTTTACTCCTTAGTTGAGACACGTTTTGAGGAGTTTCTTCCTCTCTAGCTACAGTCGGTGCCCTTCATCTGTGCTCACCATGGCCTGTTCTTCCCTGTAGCTTTGATAAACTGTGATGTGGACATTCTCAGGGGTGGAGGAATTGTCTGTATACCAAAGAAAGTGGCACAAGCAGTCTGGATAGGTCATTATAGCCACAGGTATCCCTCATCCCATTCTAATAGAGAGTAGCATTGTGCTCTTGCTTGAAATTCATATCATACCCTTTCTTGTCCACAGCATAAACAAATGTAAAAATTATTATGAAGTTCTGGGAGTTACAAAAGATGCTGGTGATGAAGATTTGAAAAAAGCTTATAGGAAGCTTGCTTTGAAGTTTCATCCTGACAAAAACCACGCTCCTGGAGCCACGGATGCTTTTAAAAGTAAAGTAACTTACAAAACTTCAATAAGGTCTTTTTTTAGAATGCACTTTACAGTGTGTCAGAATGTGAGATTCTGTTTTCGTCTGGTGTATCTAGAAACCAGCTTAAGAACTTTCGAAATGCCTTTGAAACTGGCTTCCATTACTCAGCCGAGCAATCCTAAGTCACTTTCCTAGGTAGCATGAGTGTCTTCTAGGTTTGTTTGGGGATTGATGGTTTGCATTCCCTTCCAGCATTGACATCTGGCTCCAAGTCAACCGAAAGGGACACTTTTAATGCGTTTTTCCTGGACACGGTCTAGAATGATGGTTTCCTAGATAGTCTATTCTAGGGATGTTGGTCGTGTTTCTATCTCTCTATGACACCTGGTCAGGTTTGATGATGCTTGAGTTCAAACCCAGGGCCTTGACCGTGTTAGGCATGCATTCTGCTGCTGAGTTGCATCTCTATCCCTGGGGTTTATGAGCCCAGGTCTTGCTGTGCAACTCAGGCTGGCCTTGTATTAACAGTCTCCGGGCTTTGCCCCTGAGTGCTGAGGTGCCAGGCATGGACCGCCAGGCTCAGCACAGTTCTCTCTTCTGTGTGCCTTTCTAGTGATAGGATTCCTTTTGCTTCTTCAACATTGATTTCTTATCTCTTGTCTGTGTTTTCTATTTTACTTTTAAGTTTTAGTGAGTTTAGTATTCTATTAAATAAGCACAAATATTATGTAACTGACTTCATAATTTCCTCTTTTGTGTGTTGTAATGAGAGACATGACTATCTCTTATCCGCATTACCCTTCCCTCCCCATGATTGCACATGGTTCCTTTAACTTCTCCTGTCCAGGGAAGCACTCTCTGGCTTCTCTCTGAAAGATAGAGTTGCTGGCAACAGGACTGACTCCTGTGCTTTGGGCTTATTGTTAAGTAAAAGATCAATAGCAATGATTTCATGTTTTGTTACAGTTTCATTGTAACAATTAATGTATTATACATGTGAAATGTAATTTTGTGATTGTTGATTCTTGTGAATTTGATATTCATAGAGCCAATATTTGGCGTTTTCAGTAGCACACTGGGGTCTTAGAGTGGAACAAAGGAGGTACTTTTGTTTTAAATGTTTCAAAAAAGACGACTTGATTGGTCCTTCAAAATAATACCATTAAAATGGTTTACAGTCTAAGCATTGTGGAACATACCTATAATCCCAGCTTTCAGGAAGCAGAGGCAGGAGGATCACAAGTTTGAGGCCAGCCTGGTCTACATAGCAAGTTCTAGGCCAGCAGGGCTTTATACTAGAAAATTATTTTTGTTTTCCTCTGACTTGAGAGAGAGGTGGGTAGGGAGGCAGGAGGATATTGTTTACAGAACAGTCTTATTTGTTGAAGGAAGTTGCCAAGGAAAATACATTTGGGAATTAATAATATATTCCAGTGAAAGCCCTGCCAAAGCTGTGCTTGTGGAAAAGCAAAGCGGCCTTTCCTCAAGTTCACAGTGGCGTATTTGGAGTATAGGAAACCTGGGGCCAGTGAGAGGGCTCAGCAGCCAAAGGCGCTTGCTACCAAGCCTGGCGTCCTGAGTTTGAGTCCGGGACTCAAAGTGAATTGGTTCCTACAGGTCAGCCTATGACCCGTACACATGTGTGTAGTGTGTGAACACGCGCAAGGGACACACACACACACAAATAAATAAAAAGTTAAAAAGAAGTTATAGAAAACATTTTAAGAGTTCAACATTATGAGTTAAAACAGTTTAATGTAAACCTTTTCCTGTTGTCTCATAAGCTCACCATGCTCTGGTCGCGAGTTCCAACCCCATGGTCACACAGGTGGCTCAGGTTAGACTCAGTGGGTTACACACAAATAGTGTAGGCTTTCTAGAGGAGGGACAAAGCAGATGCTGGGGAGATCCTTTACGTGCATCAAAATGTCAGGACAAAGTTAATAAAATTGAAGCAAATCTTTTGTTTCAAAATGCTTAGAAATATTTGTGTGATCCACACACTATGTCTGTGATCGCCTGGTGCTGTCAATATTCTTCCTGGCCTGGAGAGATGATACTGTTGTTAAAAGCACGGGATGCTCTTCCAGAAGACCCAGGTTGAAGGACTCTCTGTAACCCAGTTCTAGGGGATCTGACGCCCTCTTATGGTCCCCACAGGCACTGCACCCATGTGGTACAAGCATCCAGGCAAAATACTCATTCACATAAAAGTAAACAGTAGTAATTCTTTTACTTTATGAGTATAAGTGTTTTGCATGCATGTAACTGTACCTTGTGCCTTGAGAGGTCAGAAGAGGGCATCAGGTAACATGTTAAGAATGTTAGGCTTGGCACCAGGTGTGGGTGTGAACACCTGTAATCCCAAGGGACAAGCTGGAACAAAAATTCAAGGTCTCTTTGGCTACTAGTGAGTTCAAGGTCAGTCTGAGCTGTGTGAGAAACTCAAAAATAATGAACAAGCCAGGCAGTGGTAGTACACGCCTTTATTTCAGCACTCAAGAGGCAGAGGCAGACAGATCTCTGTGAGTTCAAGGCCAGCCTGGTCTACCAAGTGAGTTCCAGGACAGCCAGGACTACATAGTGAAACCCTGTCTCTAAAAAACAAAAATAGGGAGCTGGAGAGATGGCTCAGAGGTTAAGAGCACTGACTGTTCTTCCAGAGGTCCTGAGTTCGATTCCCAGGAACCACCACCAACCACACAATGGCTCACAACCATCTATTCTTCCACAACATCCAGATTTAAGTTCTAGAATCTATATGATGGTTCATAGGCCTTATGTTGGCTATAACATCAGTCTTATGATACCTGATGCCCTCTTCTGACCTCTCAAGGCACAAGGTACAGTTACATGCATGCAAAACACTTATACTCATAAAGTAAAAGTAACTTTAAAACAGAAGATCGTTAAGCTGTCTGTAAAATGCCTAGTGTGCACAAGGGTGTTTGGTTTTCAGTATCACACACACACACACACACACACATACACACACACTCACACTCAAAACCCCCAAAGAATGCTCACCTGGTTTCTACCACTTGTGCATCAAGGTCATGTGAGCATTATTGGCCTTATAAAAATACTAAGAATATAGATGCTTGTATTGCAATAGTTGCTGTTGTCCTTTTGAAGCAGCAAATAGCACAAGTATCCCAGACAAAGCCAGCCATACACTCAATGGAGTCTCACTCAGTGGGGTTTTCAGTTGAACCATGGTAGTGCACGCCTTTAATCCCAGCACTCAGGAGGCAGAGGCAGATGGATCTCTGAGTTTGAGGCCAGCCTGGTCTACAAGAGCTAGTTCTAGGGCAGGCTCCAAAACTACAGAGAAACCCTGTCTTGAAAAAAAAAAAATAAAAGCAAACAAACCAAAAAAGATAGTTTTAAAGGTTGTGTGTTACATATTCATGGTTTAATGTTGTACTTTGTAAAGGAGGAATAATACTTATTGATCAGCATGGTGGGAGATGATGATCTCTAGGAAGAGGCTCACACAGCCAGTATAAGGGTGGGCATCTATATATAAGAATGTTAATCTACTAGTTCCAAAGGGATAAGAATTGGGAGTTCAGGAGCCAATTGTCACCCAGTAGAAACTGGACAGACAGTTCAAGCTGTAGCCCACACATTTTCAATGAGCAAATGTAGTTCACTGTCTTGCAGCCTGTTCTGTCAGATAGACATGGCAGGCTTCATTCGTGATGCACTTCCTAAATGTCTGATTGCATTCTTAGCCAGTCTTCCATTTGGATATGAAGCTGTTTCTCCCTAAGCAGAAGCAGTGTTTGGGTATTACTTTCTTTTTTAAAAAAATATATATTTATTTGGACTGGAGAGATGGCTCAGCAGTTAAGAGCACTGACTGTTCTTCCAGAGGTCCTGAGTTCAATTCCCAACAACCACACGGTGGCTTATTACCATCTGTAATAAGATTTGGTGCCCTCTTCTGGCCTGCAGAACACTGTATAAATATATATGAGTTATTTTTTAAATTAACTAACTAATTAATTAATTTATATGTGTGTGCTTGTACTCACATGCCTGCATGCATGTTCAGGTCTGCACAACTGGTAGGTGGACTCAGAGGACAGTTTGCAGCAGTGGATCTCTCCTTCCACCATGTGAGTCCCGGGATTGCGGCGGGTGCCTTCCCTGCGGAGCCATCTCACTAGCCTCCACTCTTTCTTTTATGTTGTAAGGAAAGAGCTGCTTGTTTGTCCCAGTCGCCCAGAACCAAAATAATCACACAGAAACAGTATTAATTAAAACATTGCTTGGCCCATTAGCTCTAGCTTCTTATTGACTAACTCTTATATTAATTTGACACATTTCTATTAGTCTATATATCGCCATGTAGCTGTGACTTACCGGAAAAGTTCAGCATGTCTGACCCTGGCAGCTCCATGGCTTGGCTTCTGTCTCTGACTCCGCCTTCTTTCTCCCAGCATTCCATTTAGCTTTCCCTGCCTACCTAAGTTCTTCCTTGCTATAGGTCCAAAGCAGTTTCTTTATTCATTAACCAATAAAAACAACACATAGACAGAAGGACCTCCCACATCACTTTTATATGAAAACTGAAGTCAGGTTTGATCACACTGAAACATTATTTTATAGAAAGTGGAAATCATTTGCATGTTATTTTCTTCATGAATAGATAAATAAAAATGATGAGATTAGGAACTTAAGTTAAACACTACATTTGTGTTTTTGCAAGGCAGACAAATTCTCCCAAGGACAGCAGACTAAATGTGGCTATTTTGTCTTTCAACAAAGCTTGTCTAGTTTACTAAAGCAGAGAAATATTCACTATGACTTTTAAAACGTACCTAAATATGTTTTACAAATTATTCTAGTGGCTTGGATTCCCTCTCTATCTCTGACATAAACACCGTTACAGCATACCTGTGTTTGAGTTGGTGTAGCTCAGTGGTGCTTGCTTCTCATTCACAAGGCTTTGGTTCATTATCCACTGTCTCCACCAAACAAGCAAAACAAAACACGACAAACAAAAACCCC